CTCAGATTCTCCAGCATCTGCAGTTCCTACTATCTCTGAAATGGTTTAGAAAAGGCTATGTAACTTCTGCAAGATATTTATTTTAAGTGAAATTCAAGACGTTTGTCAGAATTTATTGGAACTTGTAAAGTGATTTGCCCTTGCCCGCTTAATTTGTATGAATTTTGCACAGCAAGTTGCCATACATACATTGGATATGCATACTGAACAGTGCCCTCTACAGGGCATCTGGGAGGTGTTCAACAGGATTCTCAACAGTGTGTCTCCTTAGCAATCAGATTGAAGTATCACAGGGTCTGAAGCAGAAAGTGCAAGTTAGAAGAGCGAATTCAATGCCAAATCACAAAGTAAGGTAAAAAGGAGGAATTAAAAATTGAATTGAAAGAAAAAGAGAGCAAATAGAAAATATAATACACTCTCTACCCCAATTAAAATTAGAAGTTCATGCTTGGAAAAATTAATTTTCACTGCCAGAGAGGCTGTTTGAAAGTCTGGGTCTGGGTGGGACACTCTTCAGAGGGTCGGTGTGGACTCAATGGGCCGAATGGCCAGTTTCCATACTAGGGATTCTATGATGATTCTGTGATCTGACTCAAAGAAAGACAGGAGTTGATGTTATATGTTCCTCTTAAAGAAAAGGGTGAGGGATGCTGGTATTGATTAAGGAAAGCATTAAGAAAAGCTGTGCTGGAGGAAAAGGATGCTACAGAGCAGTCAAGGATAGAATTGGTTTTAGCTGCAACAAACAGTAAAGTGCACTTACATTGCCTGGTGTAGTCTATGGGCTGCAAATAATGGAAAGCATGTAGAGGAGGATTTGCAGGGGAAGAGATCCACAAACTGTAGGGTAGTTATCGCGGGGGACTTCCAACGATTCAAATATGAGGCTGGAATTGGACCCGGGTCCCTGGTGCTGTGAGGCAGTACTGATAACCACTGAGCCACCATGTCACCCTTTTTCTGGCCATTCAGCCCAACAGGTCCACACTGACTCTTTGAAGAACATCCCACCCAGGCTCTCCCCTCCCCCCACCCTATAACTCTGCGTTTCCCATGACTAGCTCACACATCCCTCGACACTATGGACAATTTAGCATGGCCAATCCACCTAACCTCCACATCTTTGTGTGACTGTGGTAGGAAACTGGAGCACCCGGAGGAAACCTCTTTGGGGCGGTACAGTGGCTCTTTGCTAGCATTGCTGCCTCATAGCGCCAAGGACCCGGGTTCAATTCCAGCCTTGGGTGACTGTCTGTGTGGAGTTTGCACATTCTCCCCGTGTCTGCATGGGTTTCTTCCATGTGCTCCAGTTTCCTCCCAGAGCCCAAAGATGTGGAGGTTAGGTGGATTGGCCATGCTAAATTGCCTGTAATGTTCAGGGATGTGTAGATTAGATGAGTTATAGGGAAATGGGTCTGGGTGGGATGTTCTGAGGGTTGGTGCGGACTTGTTGGGTCGAAGGGCCTGTTTCCACACTGTAGGGTTTCTATGATCTATGAAATATGGACTGGGATAGTCGTTGTGTAAAGGGCAGAAAGGGGAAGGAATTCCTCCGTGTTTCCAGGGAAATGTTTTGCATATGTTTCCAGTCGATTGAGTAAGGAGGCAGTGCTAAATCTGTTTCTTTGGAGTAAGGTGGACCAAGTAGATCAAATCTCAGTAGGGGAACATTTGGAGAAAAGTGGTTGTTGTAGCTTAAGGTTTGAAGTGCCAGTAGAAAGGGATGTTGAACAATCTACAATAAGAATAATAAACTGAGGAAAGCCAAATTCAATGAAGAAAGAATCCGGGTTGAATGAATCCAAGCCAAAGGTTGGCAGAAGAAACAATAGCTGAACAATTGGCTACCCTCAGAGAAGAGAATGTTTGGGAATAATCAAGGTATACTGCCTTGAAAGGGAGAAATATGGCAAACAAATCCTGAGGCCACTGGACAACAAAAATTGAGATTACAAAAGGAAATGTGTGCTTATGATGGATGTTGGGTAATAACAGAGAATATCATTAAGAACCAGGTTGAATATAGAAGATTCAGAGGATAGATTAGAAGCAAAGAGGGAGTATGTAAAGAGGGCCTGCTAACATAAAAGGGCATCTCAGAATTTTGTGTCGACAAATGAAGAGTTAAAAGGTGATAAAAGCTTGAGTGGAACCATAAGTGGATTTACACATTGAGGCATAGAACATAGCTGTAGTATTAAATTAATGCTTTGCATATATCTCCACCAAGGAAGAAGGTTCTACCCAGGCATTTGAAGGAAGGGGAGTTAATTCAGTCACTAGAAACAATATCAGGATAAACCCAGCAACTGCAGGCTACTTGGTTTAACATCAGTGGTGGAGAAACTTCTAGGCTCAAAAAATGTATTTATTGAGACAAAAAAGGGAGAAATGCAGGTTAATGGAGTTAAGCCAGCATGGATTTCTCCAGGGGAAATCATGTTTCACTAACTTGTTGGCATTTTTCAAGAGGTAGTGGAGAAGATCAGTTACTGCACTGCTGTTAATATGGTGTTCTCGGACTTGGAAAAGGCAATTGAAAGGGTACTGCAGAACAGACTTGTTGCAATGTTATAGCTCATGCAATAAAAGGAACTATTGTATCATGGTTCCCAGAATTGGCTGAATGACAATACAGAGAGTAGTGATTGAGGCACGTTCTTTGGGCTGGAAAAAGATTTGCAGTGGAGTTCCCTAGAAGTCAGTGTTGGGATCCT